ATCATAACGGTTCATTTTACAGTGACCAGAGTCGTCATCTTCTGTGGAAAGGTCACTCAGCCGCATCACCGAGACTAGCTTTTCCGAAGATGGTGGTGTGATCTCCAGGCAATGAGGTGGATTCTAACATACAGGAGGGAGACACAGGTGAGCACCCAGGGCCGAGCCCCAGCCTAGAGTTCCATGGCAGCAGTCTGTCCACTGGAAGATTGCAGACTGCTGAGGTGGGAAGAGTAAGGAGCCCCTCCCGGGAAGACCACCATTCTAGACTCTCTTTAGGGAATGCTACCTAATGTCTAAAGGAGGCTTCTGAACAATTCCCAACAATGCAAGAGGAGAACAGATGCAAGGACAGCGTTAGCCCAGGAGTTGGGACTGGCCCAGGCAACACAGTGAGATTCCTATCTCAAAAAGAGAAAAGAAAGAAAGTGAAGGGAAAGGTGAGGAAAATCAAAGGGGCAAGGAAGGAGAAGGCAAGGCAAGGCAAGGCAAATATAGTAATATCTGCAATACTTTAGTGGTACACATCTGTCATCCCAGCACTCAGGAGGCCAAAGGGGATCACAGATTCAAGGTCAGTCTGAACTACATAACAGCAAGCTCCAGATCTGGGTAACAAAGTAAGGCACTCTCAAAAAAAAATTTTTTTTTAATTTTTGTGTGTTGGTATGTGGTGGGAAGAGACTTGAACTCAGGGCCTGGGCACTGTCCCTTAGCTTTTTGATTCACGAATGGTATTCTACCCTTGAGTTACTTCTCTCGTGAAGCTCTCTAACAGGGCTGCTTTAAACACTCGTCCTAGCTAGTCAAAGATGCTGAGATCTGGGGCTGGGAAGGTGGCTCAGTGGTAGAGCGCTTGCCTTGCATGCCTGAGGCCCTGGGTTTGATTCCTCAGCACCACATAAGCAAAAAGAAAAAAGCCGGAAGTGGTGCTGTGGCTCAAGTGGTAGAGCACTAGCCTTGAGCTGAAGAGCTGAGGGACAGCGCCCAGGCCCAGAGTTCAGGCCCCACGACTGGACCCAAAAAAAAAAAAAAAAAAAGTCTAGAGAATTTGCTTGAACTGGCTTCCCACTACGATCCTCAAATCTTAGTGTCTTGAATCAATTGGATAATAAAGTCAATTAAAAAAAAAAAAAGATGCTGAGATCTGAGGATCATAGTTTGAAGCCAGCCTGAGCAGGAATGTCAGTGAGATTATCTTCAAGTAACTATAAAAAGAAAAAGAAGCTGGGCATCAGTGGCTCACGCCTGTAATCCTAGCTACTCAGGAGGCTGAGATCTGAGGATCACTGTTCAAAGCCAGTCCAGGCAGGAAAAGTCCATGAGATTCTTATCTCCAATAAACCACCAGAAAACTAGAAGTGGCGCTATGGTTTAAGTAGAGCCCTCGCCTTGAGCTGAAGAGCACAGGGACGGCGTCCAAGCCCAGAGTTCAAGCCCCACAATGGACAAAAAAAAAAAAAAGTAGAGCTGTGGCCTAAGTGGTAAAGAATGCTAGTCATGAGCATAATAACTCAGTGATAGTGCCCACACCCTAAATTCAAGCCCTAGGACACGCACAGAAAAAAAAAAAAATCACTAATTTTTTTTAATGCATCTGTACTTCCACAAATTTATGCAAAGTTGCATTAATGCGCCAGTCGCTGGTGGCTCAGGCCTGTAATCCTACTCAGGAGGCTGAGATCTGAGGATCTCGGTTCAAAGCCAGCCCAGGGAAGAAACTCCGTGAAACTCTTATCTCTAATAAACCACCAGAAAACTGGAAGTGGCACTGTAGCTCAAGTGGTAGCGTGCTAGCCTTGAGCTGAAGAGCTGAGGGACAGCGCTCAGGCCCACAGTTCAAGGCCCAGGACCGACACACACACACAAAAAAAAAATGTTGCATTAACACTATTTTGGTTTCTTTTGTGCCTGTCCTGGGCTGCAACTCAGGGCCTGGGTGCTGTCCTTGAGCTTTTATACTCAAGACTACTGCTCTAAGCTGGGAGCTCACACCTGTAATCCTAGCTACTCAGGAGGCTGAGATCTGAGGATCGAGGCTCAAAGCCAGCCAGGGCAGGAAAGTCCGTGAGACTCTTATTTCCTATAAACCACTCAGAACACCAGAAGTGGCGCTGTGGCTCAAGTGGTAGAGCGCTAGCCTTGAGCTGAAGAGCTGAGGGACAGTGCCCAGGCCCAGAGTTTAAGCCTCATGACTAACAAACAAAAAAAACAAAAGAAAGAAAGATGAAAATCTAGGGGCAAGATTTTTCATGAGGTTATATTTCTCTCACTATGATGTTATTTTGATGCCCTATCACTTCTTGTTATTGGTAGCTCTTTGCTCTTAACAATTGGAGGTGGCTGCCTTCCAGATTCTAGGGGAGATTAGAGCCATTGGGGCAAAGTGTTTAATAATGGTGTAGCTATTACATCAAATAGTCAGGACCCGTGGGGTTCAATTAAGAGCAGGTGCTCTCTTGTCCCTGGTAATTGGATTTTTGGGGATTAAGAATACTAAAATGAAGCCGGGCGCCGGTGGTGCCGGTGGCTCACACCTGTAATTCTAACTACTCAGGAGGCTGAGATCTGAGGATCACAGTTCAAAGTCAGCCCGGGCAAGAAAGTCTATGAGACTCTCATTGCCAATAAACCATCAGAGAACCAGAAATGATGCTGTGTAGCTCAAGTGGTAGAGCACTTGCCTTGAGCTGAAGAGCTGAGGGACAGCGCCCAGGTCCAGAGTTCAAGCCCCATGGCTGACAAAAAAAAAAAAAAAAAAACTAAGATGAAGCCAGGCACTGGTGGCTCATGCCTGTAATCTTAGTTACTAAGGAAACTGAGATCAGCCCAGGTAGGAAAGTCCATGAGACTTTTAATTTTTTAAACACGCACATACACATGCACACACACACACACACAAAGAATACTAAGATGAAGGCAGGCATAATGGTGTATGCTGTCATCCTAGCACTTAGGAGTTAAGTGTCAGAAGGCTACTGAATTCAAGTGAGACATTGTTTCAGGAAAAGAAAAAAAAACAAAAAACAAAACTACATCTACAATCCCCTCTATTTGAAAGCTGACATAAAAGATTGCTTGAGCCAAATGGTTCAAAGGCCAGGCTAGGCAATACAGCTAAACCTCATCTAAAAAAAAAAAAAAGGCAAAGTAATCATAGTCTAGGACTGCTATTCAATAGTAAGCCCTTGTGTAATAACCACCTCGGTTCAATCCCCAACACCACAAAAAAAGTTACACAAAGGGCTGGGAAGGTGGCGGCTCAGTGGTACAGTGCTTGCCTTACAGGCATGAGGCCCTGGGTCGAATCCTCAGCACCACATAAGCAGAAAAAGCCAGAAGTGGTGCTGTGGCTCAAGTGGTAGAGCGCTAGCCTTGAGCTGAAGAGCTGAGGGACAGCACCCAGGCCCCATGACCGACCCAAAAAAAAAAAAAAAAGTTACACAAAAATAAGTGCTAAGCAATGTGATGTTATTTTGACTAAAGCTAAGAGTATTCCTAACAAAAGATCAGGTAAAAAGGAAAAATAGTATAATTACAAATGGGCCGAGGGTGTAGTTCAATAATAGAATGTTTGCCTACCATTCACAGGGGTTTGGTTTAATACCCAGCACCACACAAAAAACAGTGAAATCATGCTCAGGGAAAACTACAGGAAATGAACATGAGCGACAAGTAACAGGAACTAGCAAAGGAAAGCAGGACATAGTTGATACATGTACATTTACTTATGATTTTTTTTTTTTTTTTGCCAGTCCTGGGGCTTGAACTCTGGGCCTGGGCGCTGTCCCTCAGCTCTTCAGCTCAAGGCTAGTGCTCTACCACTTGAGCCACAGCACCACTTCTGGCTTTTTCTGCTTATGTGATGCTGAGGAATCGAACTCAGGGCCTCATGCATGCAAGACAAGCACTCTACCCCTGAGCCACCTTCCCAGCCGTACTTATGAAGTTTTATTGAACAATAATTTTTAATTTTTTTTGTCAGTTGTGAGGCTTGAACTCTGGGCCTCAGCGCTGTGCCTCAGCTCTTCAGCTCAAGGCTAGCACTCTACCACTTAAGCCACAGCGCCACTTCCGGTTTTCTGGTGGTTAATTGGAACTAAGAGTCTCACGGACTTTCCTGCCCAGGCTGGCTTTGAACATTGACCCTCAGATCTCAGCCTCCAGAGTTGTTAGGATTACAAGCATTAGCCACCAGCACCCAACTTCTTCTATGACTTTTTTTGTGTGTGCTGGTATTGGGGCATATTTTGTACGCCAATACTGGGGCTTGAACTCAAGGCCCGGGCACTGTCCCTGAGGCTCTATACTACTTGAGCCACAATTACACTCATTACTGGCTTTTTAGCTGGTTAACTGGAGATGAGAATCTCATAAGACTTCCCTGCCTGAACTGGCTAAGAATACAAAGTGTGAGCCACCAAGGCCTGGCCATCCCTTAGCTATTTTACTCAAGGCTAGCACTTCACATCTTGAGCCACAGCAACACTTCTGACTTTTTGGTGCTTAACTGGAGGCAGGAATCTCACAGACTTTCCTGCCTAGGCTTGCTTTAAGCCTGGATACTCAGATCTCAGTCTCCTGAGCCTTTTTGACATTTTTCTAGTGTGACAGCACCTCTCCCAACATGGGGGACTATAGAAATTTATATAGGAAGTTGTCTTTCAAAAGTCACAGAAGTTGGGTGTCAGTGGCTCACACCTGTAATCCTAGCTACTCAGGAGGATCATGGTTCAAAGCTAGTCCAGGCTGGAAAGTCTGAGAGACTCATCTCCAATTAACCACCAGAAAACCGGTGGCACTGTGGCTCAAAGTGGTACACAGTGCTAGCCTTCAATGAAAGAGCTCAGGAACAGCGTATCTAGGCCCTGAGTTCAAGCCCCATGACCAAGAAAAAGAAAAATACCAAAAAATGTTTACTATTCCATATGCCTGAAATAATAGTCATCCTCTAAACTTTTTTCCATTCAATAGAAAAAAACAGATTGACCTATTTTTTTATTATAATAGAATGCTTCACTAATTTACATTATGTCCTTACACAGGGGCCATGCCAACCTTTTTTATATTGTCCCAATTTTAGTATATGTGCTGCTGAAGTGAGTACTGTTTTTTAGTATTTAAGGGGATTGGGTTGTTTTTTTTTTTTTTTTTTTGGTCGATTGTGGGGCCTGAACTTGGGGCTTGGCGCTGTCCCTCAACTCAAGCTAATGTTCTACCACTTGGACCACAGCGCCGCTTCCGGTTTTCTGGAAGGAAGTAAGAGTCTCATGGACTGGGCTAGGAAGGTGGCTGAGTGGTAGAGCGCTTGCCTTGCATGCATGAGGCCCTGGGTTCGATTCCTCAGCACCACATAGGCAAAAAGAAAGAAGCCGGAAGTGGTGCTGTGGCTCAATTGGTAGAGCACTAGCCTTGAGCTGAAGAGCTGAGGGACAGCGCCCAAGTCCAGAGTTCAAGCCCCACGACCGGACCCAAAAAAAAAAAAAAAAATAGGGTTGGGAAGGTGGCTCAGTGGTAGAGCGCTTGCCTTGCATGCTCAAGGCCCTGGGTTCGATTCCTCAGCACCACATAAGAAAAAAGCCGGAAGTGGGCTGTAGCTCAAGTGGTAGAGCGCTAGCCTTGAGCTGAAGAGCTGAGGGACAGCGCCCAGGCCCAGAGTTCAGGCCCCATGACCGGACCCAAAAAAAAAAAAAATAGTCTCATGGACTTTCCTGCCTGGGTTGGCTTTGAACTGTGATCATCAGGTCTCAGCCTCCTGAGTAGTTAGGATTATAGGTGTGAGCCTGTTTTTATTTAAACAGTACTGGTGTTTAAGCTCACCACCTCTTACTTTTTAGGCATGTGTTCTACCACTTGAGCCACACTCAGAGCCCTATCTTTTTTTTTTTTTGGCTTGAACTCTGGGCTTGGGCGCTGTCCCTTAGCTCTTCAGCTCAAGGCTAGTGCTCTACCACTTGAGCCACAGCGTCACTCCCGGTTTTCTGGTGGTTAAGTGTCTCAAAGAGTCTCACAGACTTTCCTGCTTGGGCTGGCTTTGAACCGAGATCCTCATATCTCAGCTTCCTGAGTACCTACAATTATAGGTTTGAGCCACTGGTGCCTGGCTCAAATTATTACTTTTTTTTTTTTTGGTCAGTCCTGGGGCTTGATTGAACTTCAGGGCTGGGTGCTGTTCCTGGGCTCTTCAGTTCAAGATGAGCACTCTACCACTTGAGCCACAACACCACTTCCCCTATTTATTCTTAAATATTTCAGCTAGGTGTCAGTGGTTCACACCTATAATTCTACTCAGAAGACTGAAATCCACACAATCTCAGCTAGCTCAGGTAGAAAAGTCTGTGAGGGACTGGGAAGGTAGCTCAGAAGTAGAGTGCTTGCCTTGCATGCATGAGGCCCTGGATTTGATTCCTCATAACCACATAAGCAGAAAAAGCTAGAGGTGGCACTGTGGCTAAAGTGGTAGAACACTAGCCTTGAGCTGAAGAGCTGAAGGTCCACGCCCAGGCCCAGAATTCAGGCCCCACAACCAGCACCTCCCACCAAAAAAAGAAAAGTCTGTGAGACTTCATCTCCAAAACAATCAGCAAAAAGCCAGGCTAGAGACATGGCTGAAGTGGTAAATGATAGCCAGGAAAGCAAGCTGAGCAAGCTGGTGACCCTGAGTTCACTTCCCCATACCAGCAATCAATCAATATTTCAAGCTAGGAGTAGTGGCTCACACCTATAATCCTAGCTACTCCAAAGGCAGAATATAAGGATCAAAATTCAATTAGGCCCCTTAGGCCCCTCCTCCCCATTCTCAAACAGAAAGCCTGGGGTGGTGGTGTGGTGGGCTGCTGTGATGGCAGTACTTGGGAGGCCATAGAGAGGTAGGAGGATCTTAGCTTCAAGTGTTCTAGAACAAAAACACAAGACTTTACCCAAAAAGGGATGGGAGTGTCTTAAGTAGTAAAGCACTTGCTTAATAAGCAAAAGGCCCCAAGTTCAAATCCAATACTACCAAATGAATTTTCAGTAGCTATTACCGATATCATTTTAATTCCAATGTTTTTTGGTGGGGAAGGTTGCTGCGAATTGGAAACAGGGCCTCACATAGGCTAAGTATGAACTCTACAACTGAGTTACATCCCCAGTTCTAAAACCCACTCATTCTTGTGCTTTCTTGTACTGGTCAGAACACTTTCCATTTATTCTTAAGAATATCCTATACACACTTTTTTATAAATTGGTAAATCAGAGATTAATTGGCAAATCAGAGTACAAAACTATAGAATGTGACCATAAATGTCAGGATGATTTCCTTTTTGGACTTCTCATAATTAACTACAAGAAGACTGAATCTTTAACAAAGTGCAAGTGTGATCGTTTTAAACTAAGGTTTTCTTGAGATTTTTTTTTTGGGGGGGTTATACTAGGTTTCAACTCACTTGAGGCATGCCTCTAGCACAGTAAGAAAATCTCTGCCAGGAGGCAGTGGCTTATGCCTACAATCCTACTAGACACTCAGGAGGCTGAGATCTGAGGATAAGGGTTAGAAGCCAGCCCAGGGAGGAAAGTCAGTGAGACCTCCAATTAATCACTAAAAAAGCTGGAAGTGCAGCTGTAGCTCAAATGTTCAGCCCCAGCCTTGAGCAAAAGCAGCTCAGGGACAGTGCCCAAGCCCAGAGTTCAAGGTCCAGGACCAGCAAAAAAGAAAAAAAAATTTGATCAAAACATGGTCGAACTGGGTGCTGGTGGCCCACACCTATAACCCCAATTAGTCAGGAGGCATGATAGAAGGACTGAGATGTGAGAATTAAAGTGTGGCTTCAACTTGAGCAAAAAAAGCTAAGTGAGGGCCGGAGATCCTGCGTTTATGCACTAGTACAGGCAAGGAAAAAAAATTATTTTAGCCTTCTATCAGTGAGTTTTTTACACAGTAACTAAACTAGGAAGTTAGTCTAAAGGGGCACATCTGCCTGGTTTCTAGCTATAACCTGTGTCCAGCAATGCCTGTTATGACTCTTATAAATATATTCAAGTGTACATCATAGATAAGATGAACAGATAGATTAGAGAGTAGATAGAAGGGTAGGTGAGTGAACAGATAGCCAAGCAACATTAAGTTCTCTTGGCTACACTGAAAGTAATTATTTCCTAGGAGACTGGCCCAAAAGTGGTGCTGACAGGATTCTCATATGGTCTGTTATGGTACTGCTTTCTTGGATATGTATGTGCTGGTATGTGTATTTATCTTCAATAATGTTTTAGACATAAGGAAAACTACACTGGCACTTTATATGTAAGCAGAGGCTGACTTTAGCTTCCAGAATGAGACACCACAAGTCCTGACTCTAGTTCTGCTATGTTCTCTGTGAGACTCCAGGCCAATCAGTTCTCTCGAAAGCCTAGGTATCGTGTCTGTGCTGAGAGAGAAGTGCCTACCACCTACCAGTGCTGGGAGGATTCATATACCCCCAAGGTTAGCAAGTTCTTGGTAAATGGCCCACCCTGAATCATACCGAGTTTGAGGCCTGCTAGAATCTGACCAGTCCAAGAAAAAAAGCCTGAACAAGAATGAGCCTACCTCCCACTTGCATCCCACATGCCGGGAAGATGACTTTCCAGGGGGCATCCAAGGTACCTTGGTTTTCACCCGGACACTCCGCCGCACATTCACGGTGTCCCCTTTCATTCCGCGCTTATGAGATTTCTGTGGAAAGGTACAAACCAAGGGTCACCTCTCCAGCCCTCGCTGTCCATAGTGTCACTCTGGTGGCTCCACTTCCAACTCTGCAGGGGCACCTCCTATGACTAAGGCTGCTGCTGCGACTACTCAATGACATGCCTACCTTCTAATCAGTGACCTCCAGAAAGAATGTGTGTCTCCCAAACCTCTGGAGTCAGAAGCGTGAGGATGCTGGGCCAGAAGTAACTCTGATCCACAGCTGTTATCTCACCCATTGGCAGTGCTCCTACCTGGCTGTTGGTCGCTGATGGTTTCGGGAGTTTTTTAATGTGGACGTGGACAGGGGTGTTCTCATCCACATGAACATGTAAGGGGGGAGTTGAAGAGCGGTCCTTCATGGTTCGCTTCTGGCAGGCAGGGGAGGGCAACACAAAAAGGGTTGATCTGTGGATAAGTAAACTGGAAATGAAAATAGAGCTCATAGCCTCTGGGGACAATGAAAGCCTAGCCACCAAGCGAGCAGGACAGCTACCAACTATTGGCATGCAGGCAGAGGCCAAGGCAGGAGTATTATCTGGCAGGTTCCACAGAGATTACAACTAAAGACCACAGGGAGGCCTACGTTTACTGGAGAGAGGGTCTGAGAGCTCCACAGGCTCTACTCCAGACACCAAACTCAGATCCCAGGGTCCTCAGTTGCATCTCCATCCAAGCTGCCAGAAAACACAGCTCTTCCATGGACTTAAGTGTAGCGCACCTGGAAATTAGGTACACCTTTCTACACAGTGGTTTTTAGCGGGCATGCAGATTAGCACAGGAAACACACAAATGGGTTAGGATGCAGAATAAACCAGTCAGCAGGCAGGTAAAGGACTGTGGGAATAGAAGGCTGGTGGAATGCCAAGGATGGGAAGGTTGTAAAATTTCTAAAGAAACCATGAGCAGGCTGAACTCCAGCCACATACCCCTTGCCCACCACCAGCTCCTATCCCTTCCCCTCATTTTGTTTCTTTCTTTCCATTTTGTGTGTGTGTGTGTGTGTGTGTGTGTGTGTCATGGGGCCTGAACTCTGGGCCTGGGCACTGTCCCTCAGCTCTTCAGCTCAAGGATAGGGCTCTATCACTGGAGCCACAGCGCCACTTCTGGCTTTTTCTGCTTATGTGGTGCTGAGGAATCGAATCCAGGGCCTCATGCATGTGAGGCAAGCACTCTTCCACTGAACCACTTTCCCAGCCCTCCTTTCTTTTTTTAAATGTTTTTGAAACGTGGGCATTTTTCTGAAAGGATAATATTGCTAAGACAACCTCCTCATACCTGGCAGCTTTATCACAGGGAAAGAAAAATAGTTAAGAAATCAACAGGACACACATAGCAGCACTGTGCAGAGCATCTGGGTCCCGATGGTGCAGCCAGCCACTAGCAAAAGCGTGCAGAAGCAT